AAGAAAGAAAGAAAGAAAGAAAGAAAGAAAGAAAGAAAGAAAGAAAGAAAGAAAGAAAGAAAGAAATAGAGAGAGAGCTCCGGGCATTTCCAGATTCCTAACCGGAGAATCGAGCATTTGATTCTCTGCGTCTCACGCCTCCCGCCCACCTCCATCCTGTCACAACAATCCTTTTCCTCTTCCCTTTACCGTATCTAATCCTCAGGATGTTGTCAGTTGCCACTTTCTTCTGTGTTTGAAGCACACAGCCCTCCAGGCCGGGCAGAAAAGTTTGCCCAACGGGGAAAGGAAGAGCGAGAGAAAGAAAGGCACGTTTATAGTTATAGCTTTTCTGCTCCCCCGGCCCAACCTCTATTACTCCGGGGTTGCTAAATTAAAAATGCGCAGATTTTAGTAAGGCGCCGCTTGGGTAGAATTCACTCCCCCCCCCACCTCGCCGCGGAAGTAGGCACGTCTGCTTGGCATTGGGTATAATTTGGCACCATTATTAAGCTACCTGATAGCTTTGAAAGGGAAAAGAGCGAGAGGGAAAACCCTCCCCGCCCCGCTTTTTCTCTCCTCCGGCCCCCACCTCCTCGTAACCCTCCTGGACTTTAATTTAATGCTGGGGACGGGGTCTCTAGAGGGAACACGTGTTAGCAGCTTCTTTATAACTCACATCCACGGCTCGGGAAATAAATCTTAGCAATGACGCGGAGGCCGGGGAGGGAGGGAGGGAGGGAGGGGGAGCGGCATCGGATGGGAAGTTTGGGTGTTTATTTGGGGGGAAGGGAACTGAAAGTTGGGGGCTTGGTCGCCCTCTGAAAAATAGGACGGGGGGGTTCGTTGTTGCGGGGAAAGATGTCTCTATGAAGGAGGGGGAGGCGGTGAGGGGACCAGTCCGACTGCTTCGGTGGGGTCGAGGCGGGGGCGGGTGTTTCTTTGAGTTTTCCCGGCAGTTTTCTAATAAAAATCCTCTTCATTCCGCCACAGACCAAGTTAGGATTCGTGATTTCTAATTTATAGTTAGAAGCTTAGAAGAGTCTAAAACCTAGGATTTATCATTCGTAGGTCTGCGTGAGTGTTGCGCACGCAGGCCAAGTTTTTTTTTTTAATTCTCCCTTACATCCTACCCGGCCATCTCTAATGATCGAATACTACTAATAATAATAACAATTGCAGCCTAAGGAACTTCCATCGTTTTTTTAAAATAAAAAAGCTGATTATTGTTAGCATTTTGACTCTAGCAGCCGCAGGTAGTAAAGAAAGGTGGAAATTAAGGAAACAGCTCCTCGAGTTTAAAGTAGGCAAGAGAGATTTGGGAGGGGGGGAATCAAGGATAAGGTCAGATTTAAAGACGAATTTGTTATTTGTGGTTGGCACTGCAGGTACCAGAATCCCACCCGCTCCAGTCTTCAAGCTACAGAATTCCAGGGGTGAAAGTGGAAGAGGCGACCGCGGGGCCATTGGCCTTCTTCCTTCCCTGACTTCTGACTGACCGAATTTCCTTCTCCTTCTTCCCATCCAAACCCCCCACCCCAAACCCCATACGTCCCTAAATCATTCAGATGGATGAAAATGCACCCTTCCCAGGTCCATCCCGACTGCTTTCTCCGCGCTGAAGACCATCAACTAAGAAGACCAACCAAGAAACCTGTCGCTCGCCTTATTGCGCTCCAGGAGCCGTTCTCCAAGGCCTTTGCAAAGTTGACTCTACGGAAGGTCGCGAGGCAAGAAGCGCAAGGGACTGGCGGCTCGAGCTGAGGAAAGGAACCAGAGGAGCCACCGAAAAGGGAAAGGAAAAGAGGCTTGAAAAGACGCGTCGTCGGGAAAAAAGCGGAGGTGCTACAGTCTTGAAGAAGGAGAATGGATTGGAACTAAAGACGCTAAACTCCTAATAAGAAAACGATGCCCCCAAGCTCTGTTAAGAGCGATTGTCATTCCTGGTTGCGAGCGTCAGATTATTAGCCCGGAACGATTCTTGTCCAGCTTTCCTTCCTTTTTTTTTTCCTTGGGAAGCAACTGGTTTGACGCACGCCTTTTACTCCAAAATAAATTGTAATGATCTTCTAACAAGGCCAAAATAAACAATGGATTGCTTGTTCTCTTCCCTAGCAGTTATCTGGTTATGGTGCTTTGTAAAATAAAATAATAATGATAGTAGTAGTAGTTAGTAATAAAACCCGTTCTGCTCTTCACGAAAAGAACTCGGGGGAAAAATGAACTCTGCCAAAAGAAGGGACAGAAGGTTGGCCCTAATTATTCTGGAAGGACAAGGGAGACCAAGAAACACCTCGGAAACTTCAGCAAAAAAAAATTATTAGAAGGGGAAATCCTTCCAAAACTGTAAAATATGTTTCAAGCTCTCCTGACTGCAGATGATTTTCTTTTTAAAAAAAAATGCGCTTCGGATTAAAAAGAATCTTCGTATGTAAATTGTTTTAGTAAGCAAATAGCCACGGTCTCAAAGTTTGGCTTTTCTCGATGCCAGGAGCGTCGCTCCTTCAAACCAGATGTTTTGTCAGCCGATTTCCCCAAAGAACACTTATAGGGTCGGGCGTGAAGGGACCGGTGGGGAAGAAATAACAGGTCCCCTAATACTTTGGCAGGTGTTTTTTCCCCTTAAAAATATCCCCATTTTAATTAGCAATTAAGGAAGAGGAAGGGATCGCAGAGGGA